TTGGAGAATAACCGGGGAACTAGGATTCTTCTGAGATCACATAGATTTAGGGTAACAAGGAATCGAGCCCTAATTAACTTAGAAAGAATTGATTGGCAATATATTAAGAACATGTTCTTAACTCTTTAATTCATAACATAACTAAGATACTGGGGGAAGTCGAAACCTTAACTACGCTTGTTTTAAATTTTTAATCAATCATCATCTTTTTAATTCTGAATTTTCTTTAATTGAATACTATACTTGTTTTTAATTTTTAAGTTCTTCAATTACAGTTCTCTTCAATCCAACTTTTGATTGTCCAACTAAAACGCGATTAGCGAACTAGTGCTTGAAAATTCTGATCTTCGTGGGAACGATCTCGTACTCCGGTGCACTTGTCGAGTCGCTATCAAGTTTTTGGCGCCGTTGCCGGTGATTGGATCTTTGAACATCAGGAGTAGCTAAAGGTAGGGGTGGCAAATCGTGTTCTTGGGTCGGGTTCGAGTCGACCTGTGTCTGACACGAACACGAATAGACTCAACCCAAACACGACACGATTAACAATTCGTGTTATAAAACTCAACCTGCACACGACCCATTTATAAACGGGTTGACACGATACAACCCGATTTTGAGTGCAACTTATATTTACACGACACGACCCGACCCGACCCGACCCGACCCGACCCAAGCAACCAATGTACCCTCCAAGCCCACCAACCACTCCAAGTTCACAGCCAAGTGTGGCACGCCACACTGCACCACCAGATGCATCGTTTCAAAATTACCATCAATAATGGGGACTTGAGTGAGTTACAGCAGGACAATCATAATCATTAATTATTTTTGCTAACATAGAATATATGTGTGATTCTGAAACATGTGGATCAAAACTAACAAGTCACAAATGGAACAGAAGAATCCTATGTTAGAAATTGATGTCAAAATCAGAGGACTAATTGGAATAAACAGCATAAAAGATACAGACCAATTGAATCTTGATGTAAACATGATAATGATAAAATTTAACAAGTTATCAATGATAACAGATTTTATTAATATGTTAAAACCAAATAAAGATGGCAACAAGACAGAAAGACCAAGTCAGCATCTCATGAATGCCCAAAAAATAAAACCTTTCTACATTTTGCTGCGTGAACAAGGAAATATCACCGCAAATTCCTGCATCTGCAGGTAAATCAATATCTTGATGTCCAAGATCTGACACTCTCAGCCTTTTTCTAGAAAACAAGGGGCCATCTTCATAGAGAAATGCAGTTGAGAAGACCATGAACCTTTCCAAACAGAAAAGAAACTCCAACAACTGGGACAAGAAAAAAAGAAGCAACCAAATTAAAAATACCCAAAGAGGACTGGAGTAAATCACATTTGAGAGAGAGGCGTGGCAGAGAGCTGCGCTGGAGCTTGGAGGGGAGTTAAATTGAAACCCTGGGTATTTTTTTGCCTTTTATACCATAGAATAAAATGAGTATAATAACTTTCACAGGTCAAAGCGGGTTCACGGGTTGACCCGTAACCCGACACGATTTTTTCGTGTTATTTTTTTTCCAACCTGAACACGACCCATTTATTAAACAGGTTGACCCATACACGAAAATTTCGTGTCGGGTCCGGGTCGGGTTGGCGGGTCGTGTCACAAATTGCCACCCCTAGCTAAAGGCCTTTTAGATTGGACTTTTTATTTTTCTGCAATTTAATTTTCTGTATAATTTTATTCTATTCTATTCTATCTTTATCTTTATTTATATTTTTATTTATATTTTTATTTTTATAAAATTGTTTTTTATTTTTGTAAATTGTTTTTGTATTTTTTTATTATGTTTAATTTTTTTTTATTTCGTTTAATTTTTATTTATTTTTTATTTTAATTTTTTAATTTATTTTTGAATTTTAAATCTTTATTTTTTATTTTTTATTTTTATTTTTAAATTTTTTTTAATTTATTTTGTTTTTTTATTTTTATTTTTCCGCATAATTCTGTATTTTCTGCGTTATATTATTTTCTGTTTTCTATTTTTTACTTTTTTGGTTTTTCTGCGTAATCTTTTACTCTTAGTTTATGCGAGGTACTGTTAACGCACGATCCTTGCAGTTTGATCCTGAGATAGAAAAGACAGCTAGAAAACTCAGAAAAACGCAAAAGAAAGAAAAGCAAAAGAAGCAACATCAAGTTCAACGGAACCGAAGGAAGAAACAATGGCTGACAACAACATACTTCAGAACCCTCTGAGGACGTTGGGAGATTACATGACTCCAGCTCGAGTTTCGCAGATGGCGAGCATTATTAGACCCAACATGGAAGCTAACAATTTTGAGCTTACACCGGCACTGCTGCAACTAATTCAAAAATATCAGTTCGCAGGAGGAAGCACAAAAGACCTCTACAGTCATCTTGAAAATTTTCTACTTTATTGTGACACATTGAAGATGAATGGAGTCTCACGTGACGCCATTTTGTTAAGACTATTTCCATGCTCACTGAAGGAAGAAGCAAGAGGGTGGCTGCTGTAAGAACCCGCACCGTTAATTAAGGAATTTAATTAATAAATTACGAGAAAATAGGAAATGATTCCATAATTGACCCTAATAATTATTTATGAGGCTTAATAATCGTAATAAGTGATTAAGAATGCTGAAAGTCGCTTTTCGGAAGAAAAGTGCAGATATCGGTTCTGCTAGTCGATATAAATGCGTGCCGAAAAAGTATCCCGGAAAATTAAAGTAAGTGCATGGTAATTATTATAATAATATGTAGGACTTGTAAAACGAGTTTCAAGTCCAAATAATGAGAACTGGTGCTAGAAACCGGTACTGGCTTTGAAAAGCGCGTACCGGAAAGGTGCTCAGAAAAATATAAGAAAAATATGATAATTCTTAGAAAATTATGTAGTTCCAGAATCCAAAGTTTGGGATTAAAATGCTAAGCGTAGCAATTAAAGTTAATACTGTGTGTTTAAGTGTGTTTGAGCTATAAATACTCCTATTATGGGCACAAAACCCTAGACTCTTTTATTTCCTTCGTGAGTGAGCTGATCAGCTTGGGAGGGAGCACTGTTCCATTGCTTTCTTATCTTGTTCTTGACCAAAACTCAACCTTGAACCCATTTTCTTGGTTGTTTCATCATCCTAAACACTTGGTGTGAGTGAGAGACATCATTGTGGATGAGTGAGGGTGTTCTTCAGTGGTACTCCAGCTGCTGTTGGTGAGAGTTTTGGGGCTGACTTGGTTGGCTTGATTGTGGAAGCTTGAGTTGGGCATTTTGTTGCTTAAAGAAGCAACCTTTGGGTAGAAAGGTCAAGTCTTGGTGTAGCATTTTCGTACACCATATTCCCAGTAGCTGTTGAAGCTGTTTTGGGAGCTTCTTGAGCAGTTGAACCTCTGTTTTGGCCTTTGGTATGTATACCAACCTTTGATCTTGAGTTTTAAGGCTTAAAAATGGTAGCTTGATGCATGTTAAGGTTAAAAGATGATAACTTGTTGTTGGGTGAGGCTTAACACATCTAGAAATGTATGATTAGGTGTTTAAAATCGGTAAAAAGGGAACCTTTAAGGGATATCTTCACGAAAATGCAGAAACTACATTCTGTCGTGAAATATCCGGATATTTGTCGAACTGATATCCGGATATTGGATATCCGGATACGTGGTTTTGGGATATCCGGATATTGGATATCCAGATATGTGAATCTGTATATCCGGATATTGCATATCCGGATATGGACAGTGAGATATCCGGATATTCTTGGATTTCGCAGAACAGCAGCTGTGCTGTGTGTACAGTAGGCTATTGGGGGTTTGTGGACCCTAGTTTGATGAAGTTGAACTTCTGTATTTAACGGATTAAGCCAGAATCATGGGATTAAGGGCTTGTGGCTTTGTTAGAAGCTTTAAGACTTGAAAACGTAATGAAAAGGCGTTGTCTTTAATTTGTATGCATGTGGTACATGTTATTGATTTATGTTTGGTCCAATCAGATTGTGATCTGCTGTGATTGGACTTTGAGCTTGTGGCATTGGATAGCTAGCTTAGAGGTAAGCTTTCGTGTCCTCGGTTTAGCCATGTTGTGGTTCCACCATGTCCCATGGGGATATGGTATATGCATGCTGTGTTACATGCTTTTGATGTTTTCGAAATGCTGTTGAGCTATTGTATGTTAGTGCCTTGTTGATATGCATGGAGGTGTTCCACCTATACGGTAAGCCTAAGTATGTAGAACATACAATAGGGTGAGGCTGTGGGTGAGGTGCAAGCGGTGTTCCTTGTACTACATGTAGGGAATAGACGTATTCCTACATTTCTCTGGCCAGTAGATAGTGATTACACACATGCCATAGATATCTGTTGCACTACATAGTTTTTGGAACTGATAATGATATAAATGCTTTTGAACTGATATTGTACATGTAAGTGAGCTTGGGGTGGAAGATCCTTGAGGACCCCTTGTCTTACTGAGATTTCTAGTTTAGAGATATCACCCCACGTTTGGGGAATTCTTATTTCAGGATCAGGTAATGTTGAGACCTCAGGCGGCAGGAGGCCGGAGCTGAGTTAGAGTGCTGTTATTTTATGCTGCCATGATTGGATGCTGGATTTGCATGCTGTTTATATGCTTATAGCTTCAGTTATGATTTTGGAGTTTTATGTTGAGATTGTAGTTTACTATGTCTATTTGGTGAGCATGTGGATTGTCCATGACACATAGTATTATTATGTCTTGAGTCTTTTGAAGTTGTAATAATGTATCAGGATATTGTCCGGATTACTTGATGTAATGCCGTGATTTAGATACACACTTTATCTATAGATTGAGGTATTTCAGTAGATGTCTTATTGCAATTTACATACAGGCGTTATTTTATGAAATTGATTAAGTAATCAAGTTGGTAATTGATAATGACGTCATAATTGAAAAGAAAAAGAATATTCCGCATTTTTAATTAAGCATCGCTTAATACGATGTAATGTTAATATTCCGGGTATACATGGGGTGTTACAGCTGCGGTCACTACCTCAAGGAAGCATCACCAACTGGGATGATTTGGCTACAAAGTTCCTGGCCAGATTCTTCTCCGCCTCAAAGACGGAAAGGCTCAAAGCAGAAATCACTGCTTTTGAACAAAAAGAAAGTGAATCCTTGTACGAGGCATGGGAAAGATTCAAAGGATTGCTCAGGAAGTGTCCACAACATGGCATGGAAGCTTGGGAGAAGGGACGTACCTTCTTCCAAGGAATGACGTCGAGCACAAGAACCTTGGTGAATGCTGCAGCAAGAGGATCTCTGAAAACAAAAACTCCTGAGGAAGCGCTAAAATTGCTGGAATCTCTAGCTTCTCAGGAGTTCGATAATGCTCCAGTCCCAAGCAAGAGAGCAGGGATCATGAAGCGTGACGGCTATGATGCGCTGTTGGCCCAGAATGAACAGATACTGCAAATAAATAAGAAACAACAAGCACAATTAGATGCTCTCACAAAGCAAATTGCTAATTCTCAAGTCTCTTCTGTTAATAATCCTCAAATTACTTGTGGTATATGTGCAGGTACTCATGCTACTGAAGATTGCGACTTCATGAGAGCACCTGAAAATGCTGAAGTAAACAGACTCTGGTATGACCAGAAGAATCAGAATCAACATCCAGGGTTGAGTTACAAATCCAACCATCAGCTCAATCCTCCCATTTCAGTGCAACCACGTACCCCACAACAAAGTAACACTTCTGAGTGGGAGAAAGTTGTTGCACTGCTATGCAAGACCACTTCTGATTATATTCAAGGTGCAAATGCTTTCAGAGAGGACATATCTGCTTTCATGCAAGAGACTACAGCAGCACACCGGAATCAAGAAGCTTCCATAAGAAATCTGGAAATTCAGATTGGCTAGTTGTCGAAGCAATTTTCTGAGAAAGCTCAGGGTACTTTTCCAAGCAACACAGTTGTCAATCCAAGGGAGCATTGCAATGTTATCACCACTAGGAGTGGGACAGTGATTCAGCCTATAGAGGAGCAACCTGAAGAAAAGAAGAGAAATGTGGAGGCATCAGTTGAAGAACAGAATAAAGAAAAGGCACATGAGACTATTGAAGTTGACAAGAGCATTCCTGAAAAAGTTAAAAAGAAACTATTCAAGTGGGAGAAGAAGAAAGCTTTAGAAAGGCAAGACAAGCCTTTGGATCTCTCCCCATATGCTCGAATTCCCTATCCTCAAAGATTAAAGAAAGAGATTCAGAAGCAGAAGTATTCAAAGTTTCTAGACATATTCAGGAGGTTGCAGATCAACATTCCTTTTGCTGAAGCTTTAGAGAACATGCCCAACTATGCAAGGTTAATGAAGGATCTATTATCAAGAAAGCGTAAGTTGCAGGAATGTGAGACAGTGAATCTGACGGAGGAATGTAATGCTATCATCCAAAAGAAGTTACCTACCAAAGTCAAGGATCCAGGGAGCATCAACATTCCATGCACTATAGGCAAAGTGGAAGTGGACAATGTTTTATGTGATCTTGGAGCTAGCATCAATGTCATGCCACTCTCCAGGATGAAGAAGCTGGGGATTACTGAAGTGAAGCCCACAAAGACGATAGTGCAATTGGCTGACTGCTCTTCAAAGCAAGCTTATGGCATCATTAAGGACATATTGGTAAAGGTAGACAAATTCATCATTCCTGTTGATTTTGTCATCCTTGACATTGAAGAAGATGCCACAATTCTTATGATTTTTGGAAGACCCTTCTTGGCAACTTCAGGAGCACTGATTGATGTACTTAAAGGCGAGTTGATCTTACGGGTAGACGGAGAGCAAGCAATTTTCAAATTCTTTGACAAAGAATTCCCCTCATTCGTAGCTCAATTGGAAGATCAAGTCTACTATATTGGTGAAAGGAAAGGTGAAGAAGAACACAATGAGGAGTCTTCTCAAGAAAGTAAGCCAAAAGTTAAGATGGAGAAGCCCAGGAGCTAGGGAAAACATATAAATACCAAATTCAAAGTTCTTGAGGCTACTCCATCTCACTTATATGCACAAGAGCACTATGGGAGGACACACTTTCTGAATGATGGAGCTTGGTCATCACCAAGATCATGCTTTGAACCCCCATAAAAATCAGGTACGTCAGGGTCGTGACGTTAAACAAGCGCTAATGGGTAGGCAAACCCACACTTTATTGTTTTATTTTAATTTCACTGTTTTAGTTATTTTTACTTTGAATTAAATAAAGAGAAAAATACAAAAATATAGGAGAAGACATTGAGACTAATGGCTATCGTTGAGTGAATTTTACAGGTGAAGAAAAGGGAACAAACAACAAGAGAATGACTAGTTGTGTTTTATTTCTCATGCGATTTCATTGTAGATTTAAATCTGTTGCTGAGGACAGCAACATTTAAATCTGGGAATGGGGAACGCGCGATTCATCTAAGCACAATTGAGTAAGCTGGAGGAACTTCATGAGCACACACAGAATATCCGGCTAAAACAGGGAACTATCTCAAATCCTTTCTCCTTTTCTTTAGCTTAATTCTTTTTGAATTTAATTTTTAATTTTAGTTTGTTTTGAAAACCCCAAGCCACTGTTTTGTGAAAATTCTGAAATTTTTAAAGTTTTCTCAGTGTTTTTAATTGTAAAATGGCGGGAATTTTAAATTAGTAATTGATTCAGAGCATGGTGATGCATTTATACATTGTTTTATGAGCATCATTGCAATAAGTGACATGATTCATTGAATATATGTTGATATTGAATTTGTTTGAGAAAAAGAACAGGATAATTACTGTGCATTCATAGCCGTGAGGTTTTGAGCCTATACAGAAAATTTTTATTGAGTGTGCATTCTACTGTTGAGATACTCTAGAACTTGCTTTGTTTCTTGATTGAAATGGTCTGTGATATATTTAGTAGAAATGATAGAGACATGTTCTTTCTCTAACTATATGGCCAAATAGCTAACCTTTATTGATATTCCTTAGTTAAGCCCCATTGAGCCTAGACCTTTTTATTCATGAAAAACCCTTGAATGTGAATAGCCACTTCTCCAATTAAATCCTCACCTTAATAGAAGATTAAATTCAGATTTGAAGAAAGGAGTGGATATAAGTTGTGACTATACAAGCGTTCAACGGAAAGAAGAAGTACAAGCAAAAGGGCAAAGGCCAAGGATGAAAAATTGGTTAGAACAAGAAGAGCAAGCAAATTGCTCAAAGAAAAGAAAGGAAAAGAAGTGAAAAGCAAGAAAATATTCTTAGAAAGAAAACGACAAAAGAAAAAGGTTCAAATGAAGAACTAGAAAGAAGAAGAAAAGCTCCATAGCCGGAAGAAATGAACAACACTTGTTCTGTTCCTTAATCTAAATATTGATCTTAAACTTTTGTCCCAAATTCTTTCCCTCCGTTTCACCAGGCCACGTTACAACCATGCTAAAGACCTCTTGATCTGCTTGATTTATCATAAGAACTATGAAGAGTGAGAATATAAGCAAGTCTATGGTAGTGTTAATTCAGTGGAATAAGAGAGAAACACCAACCCTCTAGACAGTTGAGCGCGAGTGAATTATAAACCTAGTGAAGGAGTGTCTCAGGAAGTTTCCCCTGTTCTTGATCTTAAGGAATTTCATTAAAAGTTTTTACTGATGGATTGTTGATCTTAATGCTTTAATGTATCATCCTTTTCTTAAGTCTAAATGCTCTGTAGCCATTTCTCTGATTAAATTTTGCCTATGAATTCCATGCAATTGAGAGTCTTGATTGAATTCCATTAAGTTTATACTAGTGCATTGTAGAGGACAACAATGTTCAAATCTGGGAATGGTTGATAAACCCTTGGTTTACCATGTTTTTAGGCTTAATTATGATTGATATATATCATGAATTGCATAGAAATTAGGGTTTTATACCGTAAAGTCGCAATAATTGAATATCTTGCTAACATGTTGTCATAATTCTTATTCCAAGGGACTTTTGACACCTATTATGGCCCTTTGAAACCAAAAGAATGCAACAAGATGAGTTGAAGCCTTAAAGAAGCAAGATTACAAGTACTTACATGTTGAAAGATGACGTTTTGGCGCTCAGGAGAGCGTTAAAACGCTCTAAAAAAGTAAAATAGCCAAAATCCACTAGATTAGAGCATTTAAACGCTCAACAGCACGCCAAAACGCCCTGACAGCCTCAATTTCCCTTCGAAGAGTGCGTTTAAACGCTAATCAGCATGCCAAAACACCCAGAGGTAGACAGCAATACACTGGGAGAACGTTTTGGCTCTCTAAATGCACGCTAAAACGTCCATGCACGAACCAATCAGCCCAAAGATTCAATTAAGATTTACCAGAAGATACAGATTAAGATATCTGGGATTAAAGCGGAAACATCTTTATTAATTGAAAGAAATCCTGGAAAGATTCGTCGGAAGATATAATGAAGATTCGAAGCTCAAATCTGTCAACCAATCTCCAAGATATTAAATGCAAAAAGGAAACAAAGATGAAATCAATCACAAATCTGATATGGATTCATTGGAGATTTAATGACGGATACAACTCCAAAAAGCTATAAATAAAGAGCTGAGGGTCAAACCAATTCACAAGTCCAGAGCATTACACCAAGACGGAAGGAGAAATCTTGTTGCGGAGCGCTGGAACACTGAGGAACCAAGTCAACATCACACCAATGCAAACTTGGGGTTCTCTTTTCTTTATTATTGTCTTTCAATTCAGTATGTTAGGCTAGTCTTTTATGTAGTTAAGGGTAGATGGAACCCAATTGAATCTTTATGTTTATGAATTAAATTGTCTTCGAATTCTTTTCTTTTTATAATTGAATAAATTTATCTGTCTTTAATGCTTTATATGAGTTTGCTCTTTATAGAAAGATTTTGGGGAATTGTATGACGATAGGGATGTTGGTGCATGAACCCTGAATTGATAAATTTATCACAATCCTTGTGATCTAGGGATAGACATAGGGTAATTGTACAATCTTGAAATTCTTGATCTTAATGCATGTTTTCTTGGGGAATAATCGGGGAACTAGGGTTCTTCTGAGATCACATAGATTTAGGGTAACAAGGAATTGAGCCCTAATTAACTTAGAAAGAATTGATTGGCAATATATTAAGAACAAGTTCTTGACTCTTTAATTCATAACATAACGAGGATACTGGGGGAAGTCGAAACCTTAACTACGCTTGTTTTAAATTTTTAATCAATCATCATCTTTGTCTTTTTAATTCTGAATTTTCTTCAATTGAATGCTATACTTGTTTTTAATTTTTAAGTTCTTCAATTACATTTCTCTCCAATCCAACTTTTGATTGTCCAACTAAAACGTGATTAGCGAACTAGTGCTTGAAAATTCTGATCCTCGTGGGAATGATCTCGTACTCCGGTAAACTTTATTACTTTACGGTCGGTGCACTTGCCGAGTCGCTATCAGCGAGTCGAGTACTTTGCGCTTGGGGTACTCGGGTTAGGGGGAGCATGTCAATGGTGAGTTTCACACTTGAGGGGGAGATTGTTGAGATATTCAAGTGTGATGAGTCCCACATTGGTTGATAATGGGCTAAGTGAAGAGTATATAAGTGAAAGGGACCCACGAACCCAATGCCTTAACGTTTGGGGTTGAGACATGTGGCGTCATACCCACTTGGTGTACTTAGAGTAACTTAGCTCATTGGGGGTGGCCCCTTCCACGGGCTTCTTCCTGGACCCGCCTGTCATTGGTATCAGAGCCGGATTGGGCTCGAGCTAGCCTGGTGATTGGCTAGAAGGCGGGTCGAGTACTTTGCGCTTGGGGTACTCGGTTGAGGGGGAGCATATCAATGGTGGATTTCACACTTTAGGGGGAGATTGTTGGGATATTCAAGTGTGATGAGTCCCACATTGGTTGGTAATGGGCTAAGTGAAGAGTATATAAGTGGAAGGGACCCATGAACCCAAAGCCTTAAGATTTTGGGTTGAGACATGGTGTCAGATCCAATTGCTACGGTTGGTGTAGCCTTAGCTCATTGGTGGTGGCCCCCGCCACAGGCTTCCCCCTGGACCCGCCTGACAAGAAGGAGGAAAAGCTTTCTCTATATATAGCCCCTCACAATGAACTAAGTGAAGGATTTTCATCACAAGATGATAATCTTTAAGTTTTATGAAGAAACCATGTTCAAAAAGTGGCTAAATCAAAGTCTCCTAACTTGCCCTTGTTCTTTAATGGCTACGACCTCAAGAAAGAAGAAGAGCTCGTGAACTTGGAGAAAAGAAAAGAGATGATCGACCAAGGTGTGAAAAAATAACAAGGATAGCTTAAATTAACATAGTTTTGACTTTAACCATTTAAAAAGAATCCTATTGGTTACTAATTTAACATAATTTGACCTATTTTTCATAAATAATCTAAACATAATTAGATAAAATTAAGACCATTTAAAACTCATAGAATTTGCTAAATAATTTAATTATAACATCTAATTCAAGTTTAGATCAATTCTTGTTTATTTACACAATGGTCCTAAACTTTAACCATAATGACATATACGTCCCGAATCCTTATCATAAATATACTTGAATACTAGATGACTTGCTTGGCATGAATGATATATTTACTCATCTCATCATGTTCCTCACATGATCAACTTGACATACTTTGCATAAAAGGCTTACTAAATTCATAGTTTACTAAATTTTCTTGTTAAAGCTTATAAAACCTACTAATCATATGACATTTTAAAATCTTAAAGATATGGGTTGCTATAACACCCGCCCCACCTCATTTTTTGCGAGTTAGCGACAGGTCGGGGTGAGTCGACAGTCGACCCACTTTGCCACCTGCCAATGATGCTAAGAGTTGAAGAGAGAGAGAAAAATGGCTCCTACGAGACTTGTTCAAACTAAAATAGATTAACATGTAACCCAATTCAATCTCTTAAAAGTAAACAGTGTAATTTTTCAAAACAGATGAAGTGCCAAAAACATAAGCAAGTTTCAGAAGAGAGAAGTGCAATTTATGAATAAACCAATCGTTTTTTATAATTTTAACATTCAAATTAGTATTATCATATGTGCCTATAAATTTAAATTTTTTATAAAAAAAATATTATAAAAAATATTTAAAATAAATATAACTATGTAATGATATGTGTTTGAAGATAACTGTAACTAAAAAGTAAAAATCACATTATTATAAGTAGTATAAAAATATTAAATAAAAATAAAAATTAATATATTAGGCCAGCCTGAGAGGTTCTAAGGCCAAACTTTTGAATTGGAGCCTGAAGCTTTTTTATTAAACGAGCTTTTATACAACTTCAAGTCTGACTTAATAACTAATTTTAGACATGTAAGATCGGGCCTTCACAAGCCGAGCCAAAGACCCCTAAAAGGTCCCTTGTTCGTTTACCACCCCTAGGTAGCATTAGATGCCTTTATGGGTACAACCATTTGTATTCTCAA